TTCTTCAAGTTGCAAGGGACTAAATTATCTATGAGCTCAGCCTACCACCCACAGACAGACGGACAAACTGAGGTAACCAATCGAACCCTTGAGCAGTATTTGAGGTGCTACGTCCATCAATTCCCAAAACGGTTGGAAAACTTTTTACCATGGGCTGAGTATTGGTACAACACCACTTACCACGAGTCGACCAAGATGACGCCATTTGAGTTGGTATACGGGCGAAAACCCCCAACACTGATCAATTATTCGGAGGGGAGTACAGTCAACGATGAGGTTGGTCGAGAACTAGAGGAACGAGATTTGATGTTACGTGAGCTGAAGAGAAATCTCGAAAGCTCAATTAACCGAGCCAAAGCCTTCACAGATGGGAAAAGGCGTGAGGAAAATTTTGTACCAGGCGAGTATGTCTACTTGAAGCTACGACCATTCAGACAACGTACCACAGCGCAAAGGGCCGCAACTAAACTGGGAGTCCGCTATTATGGGCCTTATCAGATTTTTAAGCTCATTGGTCAGGTAGCTTACCGCCTTGAGTTACCAGAAAGCTCACAAATCCACCCAGTTATCCATGTCTTGCAACTCAAGAGGAGTTTAGGAGAAGCGCAGAAGTACTGTGAGGAGTTGCCAACTACCGCAACCGATGGCAGGGCTATCATATGCCCCAGGCAAGCCATTGAGTACCGCAAGGTAAAAAGGGCGGGGCGCTATCGCTGGGAAGTACTTGTTGACTGGGAAGAGTTGCCGTCCGAAGAAGCCACATGGGAGGATCTTGAAGAAATACGCGATCAGTTCCCAAACTTCATCCTTGAGGACAAGGAATCACTTGAAGGGGACGGGAATGATGCGGAAGTGGCTAGGCAGCTCAAGAACGCTGCAAGTCGAGCTTACCATGCACGCAAGAGGCAGGCTCGGGCGACGGCAGAAGTGCGCGTGCTGGAGCGTAGTGCGCACGGGACAAGCGAAGCTGACCAACGTACGGGAGAACGGACGATGGGTGCAGCAGTCGCACACCATGGATGGGCGTGGGGCTCGACAAGTACGCGTAGCGTACGCGTAGCGCGCGGTAGCAGTACGCACGAGGCGATGGGCGCCAGCACTGACGGGACGCTGACGATTGGCGGGGACGCGCACGCAGCAGTCATGGACGAGCTGGGCGCTCAGAGCGCGCACGACGAACGGGCACGCGCGGAGCTGGATGCCGCATGCCTCGAGGAATGCGCACTGGCGGGGCACCACGCGCACGCTAGGGTGGCTGGCAGCGAAGGCGTGCGCAACACGTCAAGCGGGCGTACATGCGCGGGGTAGGCGGCGCCCTAGTCCTCGAGGACTAGGGCAAGGCGAGGGGCGGTAGCCGACGTGCGCACGCGTAGGAGAGAGAGAGAGGCGGTTGGAAGACTTGGAGTGCACACCAAGAGATCTAGTTTCCAACTAGCTTTAT